GCTGTCAGCACAGAGCCCGATGCGGGGCTCAAACCCACAAACCATGAGATCATGACCTGAGCTGAAGTTGGACGCTTAACTGACTGAGCCACCCAGGCGCCCCTTGTTTTTGTTTTTAATTGAAACTCTGCACTCACTACTATTATCTTACATTTTTATAACATTTTACAGTATATGCCAAAATGTACAAAAATTGGGCAAGGACCTGACTAGACACCTTCCCAAAGAAGACATCCTGATGGCCAACTGACACATGAAAACATGCTCAACATCACTTATCATCAGAGAAATGCAAATCAAAACTCCAATGAGGTATCACACCTGTCAGAATGGCTAAAAAAAAAAAAAAAAAAAGCCAAGTAGTGCCTGGCTGACTCAGTCAGTGAAGCATATGACTCTTGATCTCAGGGTTCTAAGTTCGAGCCCCACATTGGGTGCAGAGATTACTTTTAAAAAAATCTTTCTTAAAAATTTAAAAAGACAAGAAATAACAAGTGTTGGTGAGAACGTGAAGAAAAAGGAACGCTTGTGCACTGTTGGGCGGGGATGCAAATTGGTATAACCGCTATGGAACAGAAATACCATATGATCAAATAAGTCCACTATTAGGTATTTACCCCAAAAAAATTGAAACGATATATTGTACCCTTATGTCTACTGCAGCATTATTTACAATAGCCAAGATAAGGAAGCAGCCCAAGTGTCCACCAATAGATGAATGGAGATGAATGAGTAAAAAATATAGGAGATATGTAGAAATAGAAATAAAATGGAATATTACTCAGCCATAAAAAAAGAAAAGATGAGATCTTGCCATTTGGGACAAAATAAATGGACCTAAAGCAGTATTATGCTAAGTGAAGTTACAGAAACAAAAATACCACATGATTTCACTTCTATGTAGAATCTACCAAACAAATGAATAAACAAAAAGCAAAATCAGACTTCTAAATACAAAGATCTGAAGGTTGCCAAAGGGGCTGGGGGATGGTGGGATAGGCAAAATGGGTAAAGGGGAGTAAGAGATACAGGCTTACAGTTATGGAATGAATAAATCACAGCAAGAAAAGGCACAGCATAGAGAATATAGACAATGGTATTGTAACAGTGTTGCACTGTGACAGACGGTAGCTACATTTGCAGTAGCTAGTGCACAGCATAAGGTATGGAGTAGAGCTGGTAGCACAGCATAAGGTAAGGGGTTACTGAATCACTATGTTGAACACCTGAAACTAATGTAACACCAAGTGTCAAAAAAAAGTAGTGTTTCTATTTATAACAGAAGACCAGAAACAGTCTAAATGTCTTTAATAGAAGATTGCTTGAATAAATTATGTGACATCACATGATGATCTTCTGTGTATCAGTCAAAAGAAATGTGGAAGATCTCATAGTATGCTAAACAGTGATCCCTGGGATTCAAGCTACAATGCAGAACAATATGCATTTAAGAAAGAGAAGGAAGTGTAGTTACTCATATTAAGAGAGAAAAAAACAGAAGGATATCATTGACTAATTAAGATTCTAACCCACAAAGTAAGGAAAGTAACAGGCTGGGAGAACAGAGATGAAAGCCTTTATTTCTCTGAATATATCTGGTTTACATTTTCAACCTTAGAACCATGTAAATGTTTCACAACACTATAAAACAGGATCAATTCAAAAAGAAGAAAAAGCAATCCCTAGAAATAAAAATATACCTAACTGTGTATCAAACTGTTGATAAAAACAGAGGAGTTTTTCAAGTGGTCTTAAAACACAATAATTTGACCCACACCTGCTGCAGGATAGGTTCTATGGACAAAAGGAATCACAAAGAAATATTAAACTATTTTTAAGCTTATTTATCTTGAGAGAGGGAGAGAGAGTGTGTGCACGAGGAAGGGGTGGAGACAGGAAGAGGGGATAATCCCAAGCAGGCTCTGCACCATCAGCACGGAGCCGATGTGGGGCTCAAACCCACGAACCAGAGATCACGATCTGAGCCAAAATCAAGAGCTGGACACTCAATCTACTGCGCCATCCAGGCGCCCTTAACTATTTAGTATTAATCATAATACTACTTATTTTTAACATACACATAATTGTACTAATGCCATTAGGAACTAAGATTTTCAGCATAAGAAGAAATAGAAATATTAAATTATAAATTTATACATATATTACATATTATATAATAAAAAGAAATTAAGTAAAAATCTCACAATCTTCAATTTAGCCCAGAAATATCAATGTGAATTCATGATGTATTTTTCTCTGATTTTGACCACTCAAAATGTCTAGAAATAACGGCAACCCAGTTCAACTAGTATTCCAAACACCAATTTGTGGTCTTAACCTCCCCATACCATTTTCCACTAAAAGAAATAGTGGTTTTTAGAGAAGCAGCCAATTCCAGGCCATCATGGAACATGTACGTGATGAGCTCTGGGCATCCGTCAGACCAGAAAGCAAGAAAGCAATTAAAGACATCTGGGTCATGTCAAAATAACACACCAACTTAATTCGTCAGACTCCCATTAGCTGCAGAGGGGATGATGGGAGCATTAAAAAAATAATGTCTGCAATGGATTGAAATATAAATGTTAAAAATTTAATAGTTCATAATGAAAACAGGGGAAAAAAGAAACACCTCTAAAAACTGCAAACACCCCAACTCATTTTCTGAAAATTGACAAAAAGAATAAATCAAGCATTGTCTTTCCTGCCTGAACTATATTTCAGGGTATCCCCATAGTGTTGATAGAAAGTTTATAGAATAACTGTCACTAATATAGGAGGAATGCCAAATTAGAAAATAACCATTTTGTAACCCCAGTGAAATAACGGACCTAAGCAATAATCATAAATGGCTGCAAAAATCATTGGGTGAAAGACTAATGGGTAGCTTTGTAATGGACGGGTCGGGACTGTATATGAAATCACTGATCAATCTTCACATTACTGCAAGAAGAGAAAACTAGACGGCACATCATCCTGACTTCAGTCAATAGCAAATATCCCAACGAGGTATTTTCGATTAAAAAATTATACCTGAATCTAATTAATTCTCTAGAGCTAACTGCCAGCTCACAGGAAATACTGGGATAGAGAAGCATTCTAAATAGCACCAGGAGGGGGCGCCTGGGTGGCTTAGTCGGTTAAGCGTCCGACTTTCGCTTAGGTCATGATCTCGCGGTTCGTGGGTTCGAGCCCCGCGTCGGGCTCTGTGCTGACTGCCAGCTCAGAGCCTGGAGCCTGTTTCAGTCTGTGACTCCCTCTCTCTCTGACCCTCCCCTGCTCGCGCTGTCTCTCTCTCTCTGTCTCTCTCCTAGAAATAAATAAAACATTAAAAAAATTTTTTTAAAAATTAAAAATAAATAAATAAATAAATAACACCAGGAGGATGTGCTGGGAAACATCTCTAGAGCAGATGACTCAGTTTCCTCAACAAATCACAACGGAAAATGGAGGGGAAGGAGACACTTTTATATTAAAATGAGACTTAAGAGATATGTCCACAAAATACAATGTTGTATCTTTTTTGGATCCTGACTTGAACCAACATTAAAAGGCCATTTTTGAGACAAGTCGGGAAATCTGAACAGACTAGAAAATGAGATGACATTAAAGAATTATAGTTAATTTCATTAAGTGATGTTTAAATTTTTTTACTATAATGCTTCATAAAAAGCTTTTACAAACATTATCCTGATGTTGAACAGAAGACGTTTGATAAATATCTTAAATGACAAGAGCGACACTCCCCTTTAAACTTTTGATTTCACCTTCTCCAAATAAAGGATAAACCCTTGACAGTTACTGAAGTAACTACCCTTCCTCACTACCTGTCCCAATCGTTTTCCCCAAGGCTCCTCTTCATGCCCTCTGTATTTCCAAACTGGACTCTGCAGTTTTCTGCACAGGTCACACGATTTCCGTCCTGCATGTTTTTGAAGGCCCTGGAATGCCCTTCCACTATCTCCATTTATTCAAATCATACCCTCTGGAAGACCCCTCACAAAAGTTAGTTCCTATATAAAGCCTTCTTTGAAATTCCCATCAGAAGTCAGTGTTTCTGTAGCTCACCTGTGCCATCTATAATATCTTACCTTTTCTGTTACTTTGTGAAATATTATTGGTCTGTATATTCAGCAAACATTTATTGAATACCTCCCACACCTAGGGGCTAGGTATGCTACCATGTATAGACACTGTCTCTGACCCCATGGAGGTTACGGTCTAGCAAAGGCTAGCCAAAGACTACACTAATTATATAAGAAATTACTCACAATTATGAGGGCCATTGCCAAAAAAGAAGTGTACGAACTAGAAAGGATATAAAAGAGGTGCCAGACACAATTGGACTCTGCCACAGAAGTGTACGATTTAGGATTAACTACTTTAGACTACAACTCACTGTGCCTCACTTGTTAATAACGCAGATTTCCTGGGAATGCTTAAGGCTTAAAAAGAATATGTAATACCATCACCTGGCGCGCGTGAGTCCCTCAACAAACAGCTCTGACTGCCAGCACCTGCTGGAAAAAACTTGCTTTAGATGAGGCTTTGGGTCCTAATTCCTAGCTCTGAGTCTGACAAAAGATATAAACTCAATAAGCATTTCAGAAATAAGTAAAACGGGAAAGGAAGAACGAAAGATGTAATAAGACACACAGCATCTGCATTCAGGATCTCTTTGAAATGTAGGGTACCATTATCTCTCTTTTATACATTAAGTAACTGAGGCTCAGCGCAAGAATGGGGTCCAAGAGCATGACAACATTAAAGTCCCAGCTCCAGGGTCTATCCTCGGTCTCTTTTTCTCCATCCATTACTCGGCAACTCAAACCCAGAGGCTAGGACGAGGCCCGGAGCCCTTCCCAGAAGGCTTTGCAGCGCCGCTGAGAACTCTGGGATACTAATGGATAAACAAATCCAAGGCAAGGACCGAGACCTAAGACCCAGAAACTCCTTTGTAATCCCTCCGGGTGACCTCTTCACCCCTTTTGTTTGCTTACCTTTCCTGGCGCTGCCGCTGTGGGAAGCCTCACTAATGCCTGCAAAGGCCGGGAACAGCGCCATGACCACAGGCCGCACCACCGTTTCCCTCTACAGAAATGGCGCCGGCGAGCGGACGCCGGTAGTGAGGCCTTCCCGGTTGCGGTGCACTCTGGGAAGTGTGGTTTTTTTTCCCCCTTCGCACTCCCTTGGGCTTGACCCGGGACCTTACTGGGCGAAGAGGGGCGGGGCGGGATGGGGCGGAGCCTTAATACTCGAAGGCTTCTGTTAGAACCGGAAGAGGCAGAAACCGGATGTGGAATTATTCAGAGCAGAAAGTAGTAGGAGCTGGGATTCCAGTTGATCCCTGAACTCACTCCATCACTAACTCGGTTAAATTAATCAAACTGTGAGGTTCAGCTTCCTCATCTGCAAAATGTTCCCAAGATTAAATGAGCCTTATAAGTAAGATGCTTAGTTGGCATTGTACCTGACCCGTGGAAAGCACTTGATAAAAGTTACTATTATGAGTTGTAACTGCAAATCCAACTCAAAGCCATGTGAGATATCCAGAATTCAGTTTACCATTTAAAATATTTTAGGAATAGGGGCGTCTGGGTAGCTCAGTTGGTTAAGCATCCAACTTCTGCTCAGGTCAGGATCCCGTGGTTCATGGGCTGGAGCTGCGCTTTTCGCTCTGTGCTGAGAGCTCAGAGCCTGGAGCTTGCTTCAGATTCTGTGTCTCCCTCTCTCTGCCCCTCCGCACTTGCACTCTGTCTCTCTCAAAAATAAATACACATTAAACAAGATTTTTTTAATATCTAGGAATATAAAATAATGTGAGGTCCTGTCAAGTTCAAAGGTTAGAAAATATTTTCACCCACCTGGGAGGAATTCTTGATGAAAAAAAAATTTTTTTAATCAATTTAATCAAGCCTACTACTAGAAATATAGGAGATAAAGAAAATTTAAGGAGTTCATACCACCTAGAAGCATCAGCCAAATCCAGAACATGGGAAATTATAGAAAATAACCCAGTTTCTTCAACAAATCAATGGCTTTAAGGGTACAGAAGATTACAATAGATTAAAACACCTTTAGAGATGTATCAACCAAATGCAATATATGGCCTTGTTATGATTCTGATTGGACATTGTAAAACATCTTTTTGAGACAGATGGAGAAATAAGAGGTGGATAGAGTATTACATCAGGTAATTCTTGTTAATTTGGTTAGATGAACTAATGGCATTAAGATTACTTTTTAAAGTTCGCATAGGGGCGCCTGGCTGGCGTAGTTGGTAGAACATGCCACTCTTGATCTTGGGGTTGTGAGTTGACTCCTCACATTGGGCTTAGAGCCTACTTTAAAAAATCATAAATAAAATAGAGTTCTTATATATTAGAGATACATACTCTGGTATTTGCAGGTGAAAATAGATAAATGCAAATATATTTCTTTGGATCCCATGAGTTCAAAGATCTCAAGAGTTAAATAGAAAATATATTAGAAACCAAATAGTTACAAATCTAATCAGGGGATGAATGGACTGGAGAAAGCTGCTATCCTTGTTTGAGTCCAAAATGAGAACCCTTCAAGCTTTGAAGACCTCTATGTAGTATTTACAAGAAGGGGTTTAGTATGATAGTAGAGATAGTAAGCCTTTGTATGTCTGCAGTTTTAAAACTCAGATTCTACCAAAATCTCTGGCTCTAAGTGATCTCAATCAGTTGGCACAGCATCTGCCTCCTTGGCTGATAACTTCGCATAGCTGCAATGGCAATAGTCTTCTCCAGTGCTTCATACCTTTCTATTCCAGAAAAATAAGTTATATGAAAGGTTTAGGAAAACCAAACCATAATAGTAATGTTTCTGTAATCAGAAGGAATCTGGGCATGTTAGATATTTTCTGTGCTACAAACGTGTAGGAGAATTTGCCTTAAGAGAGCACCCTTGTAAGACAATTTAAAGGGGTGCCTGGGTAGATTAGTTGGCTGAACATCTGACTCTTGATTTTGGCTCAGGTCATGATCCCAGAGTCAGGGGATTGGGCCTCAAGTCAGGCTCCATGCTGAACATGGAGCCTGTGTAAGATTCTCTCTCTCTTTCTCTCTCTCTCTTCGTCTGCCTCTCTTTCCTGCTCATGCTCTCTCTCTCTCAAAATAAATTAATTAATGAAAAAAATAAAAAAATAATTTAAATATTTTTTAGGTTTACTTCGAAAGAAAGAGAGAGAGAGAGAGTAAGCTGGGGAGGGGCAGAAAGAGGGAGAGAGAACGAATCCCAAGCAGGTCCTGCACTAACAGTACGGGGCTCGAACTCACAAACCATGAGATCATGACCTGAGCTGAAATCTGGAGTTGGATGCTTAACCAACTGAGCCACCCAGGTGCCCCTAAAAAACAATTCAAAGTGTACAATCAAGGGGTGGCTGGCTTGTGCCATTTGAGCCCCACAGTGGACATAGAGATTCCTAAAAACAATTAATTAATTAATAAAAATAAAGCATATAATTGAGTAACTGATACAAACCCCTGATTTTAATTGAAACCTTATGAAGTTTAGGCAGAGTTTCAGAACATCAAAGAGAATATAAAGTTTACTATATGTGTAAGTGTAATTGCCTAGCTTTATAAAAATTAATATTTGACAGGTAATTGAAATACCTGAAAAGAAAAGAAAGTGTATTAAATTTATAATTGTATATGAAATATATAAATACAGAGCAAAAGTCAGTAAGCTTTTTCCTAAAGGGCCAGAAAGTAAATATTTTGGGCTTTGCAGGCCAGAGGGTCTCTGTCACAGGTATTCAGTTCTGCCCTTGTATTGGGAAAGCAGCCATAGGTGATAAACACATAAACAAAGGGACATGGCTGTGTGCGAACAATACTGTGGTTACAAAAGTCAATGGCGAGACACAGTGGCTACAGTTTGAGGCCCCCAAAGTCTTCTGTATGACATTGGGCAGTGTTTAATTAACTATCCTTATGAACTGAAACCAACATTATTCAAGACCCCTTCAAAATATTGCTAAAATTTACTAGACCTATAAATAAAATAAAATTTGTAAGCTGAACTTGAACATTTAAGAATATTGTTTTTCAATTAGAACATTTATTCCTGGGGCACCTGGGTGGCTCAGTAGGTTAAGTGACAGACTTCGGCTCAGGTGGTAATCTCGCGGTTCATGAGTTTAAGCCCCATGTCGGACCCAATGCTGATAGCTCAGAGCCTGGAGCCTGCTTCAGATTCTGTGTTTCTGTCTCTCTCTGCTCCTTCCCCACGCATGTTATGTCTCTCTCTCTCTCTCTCTCTCTCTCTCTCCCTCTCTCTCAAAAATAAATAAACATTTAAAAATTAAAAAGACAAGCAAAAAACATTCCTTTATAGTCAACAGCGAGTTTTCAGGAAATGAAGAAGACACAGGAAAATGTTACTATGTCAGGGAACACAATCAGCAAACCCCTGAAACTGTATAGAACAAACCACCTGGTTCTTACAACAAATAAAATACAAGGGGGAAAAAATCAAGTCAAAAAGAGACATACAGGGGTGTCTGGTTGGTATAATTGGAAGAGGGTGTGATTCTTGATCTTAGGGTCATGAGTTCAAGCCCCACATTGGATGCAGAGATTACTTAAATAAATACGTATTTAAAAAATTTTTTTAATGTTTTATTTATTTCTAGGAGAGTGAGAGAGACAGTGTGAACAGGGGAGGGTCAGAGAGAGAGGGAGTGACAGACTCTGAAACAGGCTCCAGGCTCTGAGCTGGCAGTCAGCACAGAGCCCGACGCGGGGCTCGAACCCACGAACCGCGAGATCATGACCCGAGCGAAAGTCGGACGCTTAACCGACTAAGCCACCCAGGCGCCCCAATAAATACGTATTTTAAAAAGAGAGGGGGGGCTGGGGCACCTGGGTAGCTCAGTTGGTTAGGCATCCAATTCTTGATTTCCACTCAGGTCATGATCTCAGTTTTGGGAGATGGAGCTCCCCATCAGGCTCTGTGCTGACAGTGTGCAGAGCTGCTTCAAATACTCCCTCTCTCTGCCCCTCCCCCACTCACCTGTTTTCTCTCTCTCTCTCTCTCTCTCTCTCTGTCTCTCAAAATAAATAAACTTTAAAAAAAAAAAAAGAGGGGCTCCTTGCTGGCTCAGTAGGGGGAATGTATAACTCTGGATCTCAGGGTTGTGGGTTTGGGCCCCACGTTGGGTGTAGAGATTACTTAAAATCTTTAAAATAAAAAGAGAGGCATACATTAAAAGAGACTTGAGAGGCCTATGGACCAACAGTAATGCACAGATCTTATTTGGACTTGGATTCATGCAAACTGTGTGAGCAAAATGATGACATTAGGAAACCAGCAGCTGGAAACTTGAACACTGGCTGGATAATTCATAAAACTAAGGAAGTATTATTGAAGGCGTGATATCATGCCTTCATGTGTAGGCATGATAAAGGTGTTGTGATTACATATTTTTAAAAAAAAATTTTTTTATTTATTTCTAGGAGAGAGAGAGAGAGAGAGAGACAGCGTGAACAGGGGAGGGTCACAGAGAGAGGGAGATACAGACTCTGAAATAGGCTCCAGGCTCTGAGCTGGCAGTCAGCACAGAGCCCGAAGCGGGGCTCGAACCCACGAACTGTTAGATCATGACCTAAGCAAAAGTCGGACGCTTAACCGACTACGCCACCCAGGCGCCCCGCGATTACATATTTTTAAAAGAGTCTGTGTCTTTTAGATATACATACCAGAAGGCTAACAAGTGAAATGGTACGTTGCCAAGGATTTGCTTCAAACACGGGAGGAAGCTAAGAGGCCAGGTATGGTTGAAACACAAGATTAGCCCTGGGTTGATAATTGTTGAAATAATGTAAACATGTACTATGATTTTGGCCTTTTTTGGTAAAATGTTGAAATGTTCTATAATACAAATATTTTTTAAAATGTAATGTTTATTTTTATTTTTGAGAGAGCGAGAAAGATGGCGTGAGCAGACGAGGAGCAGAGAGAGAGAGGGAGACACAGAATCCGAAGTAGGTTCCAGGCCCCGAGCTGTCAACACAGAACCTGATGTGGAGCTCGAACTCCTGAACCA